TAATCTTGGTGAACTACAGTTGCCTCATGTAAAAACAAAACAAAAAAGTTATAATGATTATTTCATAGGATTGTCATAGGACAAAATTTCTCACAGCTAAAACACAATTTAAAAATTCAATAAATATCAGCTAATTTTATCACAGAATAGAAACTCTAGACAGACTCAAGAATATAAAAACATAGTGTCATAGCAGAACACTTTGTATTGGTGAGAAAAGAATAGATTATGTAATGCATGGATAACAGTGTGTTTCTATAAAAAAATAGATTCCTGTCTTACACCATCAATAAAAATATAGTACAGTTGGATTATACAATTGATTAAAGGTTTTCTCCTGCCTCCTGAGCCCCTATTTCTCAGTCTCCTCAGTATCCTCTTCCCTCTGATCTCATAATGATGCAATGTTTTGGTGTTCCATTATTGGTCCTCTTCTAGTCTCTACCTACCCTCTGATGCATTCTCTGGGATTTCAGTGCTGTCTGTAGGCTGATTAATTCTGAATTTGTATCTCTAGCAGACTTCTCATCCAAAATCCATTCTTGTATTTCTAACTTCCTTCCCAACATCTCTATCTAGAAGTTTAGAAGAGTTCCCAAACATAACATACCCCAAACTCAAATGCTGATCTTCACCCCCAAATCTTATCCACTTCTTGCCTTCCCTATGTCAACTGATGGCAATTCATCCTTCTAGTTGTTCAGATGAAGACTCTGGTACACATTTGATCTTTTTTCCCCTTTACATTCCACATCTAATTCATTATAAAATCAATTCAAATTTTAAAATACACCCAGAATTTTCTCACCACATCAGTAGTCACCACCTTGCTCCCAGCCACCATGATGCGCTGCCTGGATGATTCTCATTTTGCTCCTCCTTTCAGCCTAGTCTCAAGAGAGCAGCCAGAGTGATTCTTTTAAAAATGAAAGCCAAATCTGCTAAAAATCCAGCAATTTTTCAGCATTTCACTCAGAGTAAAAGCCAAGGACTTCCAATGGCCTACAGGAATCCTCCTCTTCTCACATAAATCCAGCCCCACTGGCCACAGTTTGCTGAGCACATTGTAGAATCTGTACTATCACTGTTCCCTCTACCTGGAATGTCCTTTTCCTAGATGAAAGGTGGATTAACACTCTTAAGGTTGCCTTCCCAACCACCCTAGTTAATGCTGTGACCTATCCCCAGGCACACACATGTACATAGGGAGGGTTATAGGAATCATCAGGTACAGGTTTACTTAGCAGAATATACTATCAAAAACATTATTTCATTATGTATGCACTCATGCACTGCTTAACAGGGACACGTTCTGAGAAATGCTTCATCAGGTGATTCTGTCGTGTGAATATCACAGAGTACACTTACACAACAAACTTAGAAGGTAGAGCCTACTACACACCTAGGATATACGGTATAGCCTGTTGCTTTTAGGATACAAGCCTGTATATGTTACTGGATAAAACAGCATGAGATTAAATCAAGCACAAGAGAAACTGATATAATCCAGAGAGATGTAGTAAACAAGGTGTATGAAGCTGCTGACAGCATAACCCAGCATACTATTTTATAGCAAATGTTTTTTTTATAAGTAGAAAAAGTAAACTTATTAAGTTAATTACATTTAATTATGTATTATATTAAATTCATTTATTAAGTAAACTCATTTCACAATATATGTAAAGTCAGACTTTCATGCTGGATACCTGAAACTCATACAGTGATGCACGTCAATTATATCTCAATAAAACTGAAAAAACAAAACAAAAATCAACCATTAAAACTAATAACCAACTAGTAAACTTTATAACTGCTTTAATCAACGAAAAAGTAATAAATGTAGAATTTAGGTTTGACTATATACATGCTCTATCATTTGGCAGGCAGGGCTTCCACAAGTCTACTTGCCTGAGGTATTGAGGAAGCCTTGAAGAATTATTCCCACTCTATATTGAGGGGTAATTCCACATAATGCCTGTGGCCTGTGAAACATAATTTCATGAAATATGGATTACTAGCATTAACAGGTCCCTGGATTTGTTTTCACAAAGCTAGCAATGCCCTGGAGAGATCAGATATCCTAATGATATCACCTCTTTTTCCTAACCTGCAGTCTCAGAGTGATTACACTCTTCCCCTCTTCCTAACCCTATTTCTTTACCACCTTCACCTTCCATATACTTAGAAGCAATTCTTAGTCCCACTAATTGTGAGTTGGAATAATCTCTCTCATATGTGTCTTTTATTTTGTCTTTTCTCTCATTCATAACTTCTCCCCAGTGTCTGTCTCTGCTCTCTGTAACTTTGTCTTTTCATTTCTGTAGCAACCCAAATCATACCAGTCCACCTTCCACACCAAATATGGAGTGAACTTCCTAAAATAAGGCATTAATCAAATCATCCCTAATTAAATATATCTAATGACTGTACAGCGCCAGTGAAAGTATATAAACAAAGCGAGAAAACGCTCTCAAGTTTGGTGCAAACAGGGTCTCCCCTGGATTTCTGTGACTTGGCTTGAAATTCTCCAAGGTCAGTAACCTAAGCTTACTCTTGTATGCACCCTTCCCAGTACTAGAGTACTTTGCCGTTCAAATTGTGTGTGTGTGAAAGTTAAGGGAGTAAATCCTAAGAATTCTCATCACAAGGAAAAAAAGTTTTTTGCTTTTTCTTTTCAATGTATCTATATACAATGGTAGATGCAAAGTTTATTTCTGTAATCATTTCGCAATATATAAGTGAAACCAATGCTGTATACCTTAAATTTATACAGTGATGTATGTCAATAATATCTCAATAAAGCTGGAAAAACATAAAAATTTTACTTAATTTGAAAAGTGTTTAGTAGAAATATGTAATCATAACTTTACTCTTTTTATAAGTTTTTATAATTTATACAGGTTTTAAAAAACTTAAGTCAGCTAACTTAAATATTTAACAGGTGAAAAATGACTTATTGCTTAAGCAATGTTACATAATTTACACATTTTATTTGATAGATGAAAAACTTACTGAGTAAAGGGATGGTGGTTTTATCGTCTATTATACCTAACAGCAGAGAGGTTATCACACAGAAGGTAGCCAATAAATTTTTTTGGTTAATTGAGAATTTTTTAATAATTCATAAAATTCTAAATGTTCAAAACTAATAGGCATAATTTCCATTTTATATTCTGCTCTATATTGAAGAGATTTATGCATAAATGTGGAAAAAAACCTCTGTAGCTTCCAGATTGGGATTCTACGTCTTACACCTGCACTTACTAAACTCCTCACTCACTACCTTTCAATTTTGAAAGTATAATCTTAACTAATACTAGTAAAAAAGTTTGGTATTCTAAAGTGAGAAGTAATTTTATAGAAATGAGCCACTGGGATCTAACAGTGTGTATTACTCCCAACTAGTACAAACCCCGAACTAGAGATATTTGGAATCATTTGAGAAAGTTGTTCAAACAATAATGCTGAAAGGTTCCTGACTTGTGGCTGTTACGGTTATGGTTAATCTGGGGTGTGTGTGTGTTTAGTGCTGGCAATATAAATATTAACTAGTAACATTAAAATAAACCAAAAAACAGTCACGAGAACAATACATTGTTCAATACCAAACTAACCAATTTCAAACCAGTATTCTAAAGGAAAAAGTCTGTCACATATTCAGGGATAAGAGTGTACGTGCATAATGTGTCCTTGTAAATCTGAATTTTCAAGAGAAAAAAAATTGAGAAAAAAGAGACCCGAAAATAAATTAGAAAATGAAAAACAATGTGTTTTTTATACAAACAACAGGGCGAAAGAACAAGATTTCCAAATTAAAGCCACATGTGTTGAGATGTGATAAGTACTGTTGGCCCCAAACGCCACCAAAAATAAGAAATCCAAGATTAAGTCCTAAAGAGAAGGCTATACTGGTAAGATAAAAATTGTATGATAAAAATTGTATGAATTTATTGCTATTTTTTTCCTGAAGGTGATAGCAGCAACAAGGATTCACTTTAAATTAAGAATGGTTATTTTTTTTAAGAAGGTAAAATTAACCAGATGCTTCTGTCCTCCTGATTCAAAATTTGCATTATTTAATATATGGTGATAGAAGGAGAATTGACTTTGGGTATGAACACACAATGCAATACATAGAATGCAATATATAGATGATGTATTTTAGAATTTTACACTTGAAACCTATATAATTTTCTAACCAATGTGATCCCATAAAAAAACAGCTTAGCCCAAGATTGCTGTCTTACTTGGTACAATCAGAGGTAAAGATTAAAAAATATCCATTACTAATTATTGGAATAACACGGTCTCACTAATAAAATAAAAATTGCTAGGAACAGCAAACAAGATGTTTTGATTAACTATATCTGCTTTGTCAATTTTATTTATCTTTTCAAAGAAGCAGCCTTTGCTTCATTAATTTTTTCTATTTGCTTTTCTGTATTTTATTTATTCCTGCTCTAATTTTTATCATTTCCTTCCTTCAGGTTTGAATAGATGAAAGTTTTATAAAAAATGTTCCTATGAACATGTACTTTATCTTCTAGTGTAACAGAATTCTTTTGCATATGTGGAAATGGGGATTGAGAAAAATATGAGACTTTCCCAATATTATTTATAGATAACGGAAAAGTCAGTGGCTTTGCATAATGGTGCTTGCAGGTCTATAGTGAAAAAAGGAAGCACCCATTGGGAGGACATGAGAATTTCAAGAAAATGAAGCAAAAGCACAGCACTTAGCTTCATGGGGAGTGAGAAGTCATCACCTTCCGCTGCTCAGCTGCTCAGTTCTACTCCGAGTTGCATGGTCCTTGATGCGACTTTTCTGTATACACCTGCTTTCCAGAGCTCCACCTCTGACCCACTCAATCTCTGGGTCCCAAGGGAGATATTCTATCTAATATGTGTGAACGATTTTCCTGTGGCCTATGAGCTGTGCCTGGTGGTAATGGATATCACAACATATAAATATTGTTCCCTATATCTCAGAGTATCAATCAACTGTACATTAAAGGAGCTGATGATGTAAGTGGGGAAACAATGATTTTAAAAAACCAAACCTCCTTTTGATAAAGTCAATGTTCTTTCTTCATAATTTTTCTAGTAGAGAAAAAAAAAACCCAATCAGTTTTTATAACATTTGATAAGCATGGGTAAATTGCTATGGGAGAGGCAGAACAGTTTTGGAGATATTTTCTTTCATGGTGTGCTTCAAGCTTATGATCTAAGCATACCCTATTTGATAAAGGTTAAATACTTTCATTTTTGCATATTATAGTGTAATTCCATGTGTTATTTTTAAATGTTGATTAATTGAATGCCAGTTTAAGATGCCATCTAACGCAGAAGCAGTTTTCTGTAACTACCCTTTACATACTTGTGTATATGTATAAATAGATAAATCTCTAAAGAAAAACCTGACAGATCACCTATTGCCAAAATCACAGAGAAGTTTAATATTAATAAAAAGATGTTGGAGATAAAAAATAAAATTACTCAAATGTTTACTCATTTTTCATCACTGATACAAGCAATCCAACCTCACATGAAAACAAATTTAAAGAGGAAGTTTATTCATTTTTTTCTCATTGACTTTCATGGCTCAGAAGCTCTGCTTGTACAGACTTGAAATTTGGACAGCATTAAAGTACTGTTGGATTTCTTTTCCTCTTTTTTTTTTATGGTAACTTACACATCATCCAATTTTCCTATGAGAACATTTTCCAACAGAATACCTTGCTGGAGAAAGTTCATCGTGTAGCAAAAACAAACTACTCAATAATCAAAAAGCTTCTGGCAACACTGAGTTAAACTGAAAGAGTTCCTTACAGCAGTATCACTTAGAAACTTTAACATCTGATTCTAACATCAACGACAGTGTCTGATAAAATAAATGTCTGTTGAATAAATTAATGATGCATTTTGTAAAACTTTTGTAGGGGCTTCCAATTTGCAATTTTTTGTTTTCTTTCTTGCCATTAATTTCTATCTAGCTCGTGAAAAGATGTTGAAGAAATGAAAATATCTAATGCATGTATTTATAAAACACTTTTGTAAAGCAATGCTTTACGCCTCCTGGCTCTACTCACAAATAACTTGTATAATAACATTATTACCGTTAAAATTAGTAGTAGTTTTAATTATAATGACTAATATTAACTAAAGGCACTATTACCAAGGCAATTATTTTAGAAACTCTCCAACTAATCTCAATTGTATACATTCTACAGATACAGAACTGAGAAGCAAACTCATCTAGTTAGTGACTGGAATTTTAAAAAATTCCTGAGAACCTCAAAAACAAATATTTGCTCTGTGGTAGCATTTAAATATGGTTTAGTAAGAGTCGATATAAAAAAAATAAATGCTTTGATGTATAAATTAGGTAAATAATTTTGTTTTTCTAAAAGAGAATAATAAACACATGGAAAACATTATGAGGAAGGAACATTAAACTAAAAGTCTATTAAATTTAAGAGAAAAAAAGGCACATAGTATTTGTTTAGGAGAAAGCTAAATATTTCCTATTGTGCTTTGTCTGTATGCTACTAATTAACATGGTACTGCTATTTGTGGTATTGGATCTCATTTGGTTTATTCTGTTTTTACCCAATTATGAACACTCAGATCATTTGGAGAAAAAGAGACTGTTCACTGGAGTTTTACTTAGGTCATTGGGAATATATAGGAAGGAAAAGCTCAATTTTTACATACAAAATTCAGACAAGTATATCTGGCCATATCAATCAATTTCTTCTATTACTAAAATGTACATTTTGTCACCTCATTCTCTTGACCTTTTGGTTTTGAGCTGTTATAAATATCCCACCCGTAAATTTGAAGTCTCAAAATTATTTCTCTGTATTACATTTATCTAATAATTATGAATTCTTGACTTCCATATAACCATCTACAGCCCTATAAGTCATATGTATATGTTATTAAAAAAACTACAATAAAACCTGGAAACCCAAAAAAAATCCATCTACTACCCTCTACTACACGACGAGTATGTGCTTTCCAGACTGAGGGGGGATGTTCTATTTATAACTCGCATTTGTTTCCTACCATGTGGCCAAGTTTCCACTTATTACATGTCTGCTTGCCTTAATATTAACTTCCAGTTTGGAGCGCTGTAAATTGTTTCTCATGCCCTAAATTAAAGCAAATGATATCCCCTCCACATCCACCAATTTTACTAGAAGCCACTTCAAAGATTCCACTTTAAAAAATGAAGTATAGCCACTGCTTCCTGAAGCCAAGGTTAGCCCTGTTCATAATGAAATGAACCTTTTCTCTGATTTCCCTGCTAGTTAAACACTGACAGTTTTTTTTTTTGAGACATTTTTTTTTTCTCCTCCACTATTGTTGCTATTATTGGGGAGGGGATGGGAGGTTAGAAATGGAGAAGGCGCCGGTGGACGCTCCCTTACTCTGTGTTGCTTGGGACCAGTATATGTGTTTAAAATGACATCCCAGTACCGCATTTAACTGTCTTTATCAACATAAAAGTTCTCAAGCATTTAAAGATTGTCTCAGCTACACACAGCTTCAAAGAAAGCAGCAGTGGATATTTCTTATGTTGTCACTAGCTTATTAACCCTCCGCCGAGCGCAACTGATCTCACAGGTTTCATTGCACACAAAGATGTCACTATGAAATAAGTCTTTACTAAATCACAAACACAACTGGCGACAGGTTACGGTAAAGGGGGAAGATACGTAAGCGATGAGTCATGATACTTAACTGTTAGATATTTGAAAATTTGTGTGCAATGAATCTGTGAGATCAGTTGTGCCCGACGGAGGGTTAAGCCATATGAAAATGGATGGCAGAAAAGAAAAAAACAAAAAAGCTCTAAACTCCAACATTTAGCTTCCTCATCGGCTTTCTACTTTCCAATCATTCCAATTGTTCATTTATACTAGCCTCTCCGGCTTAATGTCAGGTTGCTTTTTACATCAGCCACTGTCACCCTCTTCACCTATTTACACTGTGACTATAACAAGCTCTGAGGCAATGTAACACCGAACTGGAAGTACCCAACTGTTCCCCAGGCCCCTAGCCCTTCCTTCTGCCCTCCTGCCCTCCATATATGCAAAGATCTTGGGCACATGGTAACAGAACAGATGTTTATAGTCACACGTCCTACTAACTACCACAGGAGCTGCTGAAGAGTAGAATAACCACCCCTACACACACACTCTCTCTCTCTCACAAAACAGTTGGGCTTAAGTTGAAGATATGTTCCTTCAGAAAAGGTTCTTGACACCTAAAGGTGCTGCTAACCCACAGCCTTTTCAGCTTGGAGCTTTCAAATTCTTCAGGCAATGGGAATTTCAACCCTAAACCCACCTGAGCATTGACAAAAGGCTATGTAGGATAAAGGGAGACTGTGTTTCTCCTCCGCTCAGCCAAGACCATGCGAGTGAATGTGCTTGCCTTCTCCCTTTGTGAGGTAGAACTTTTGCTGGTTCACCCTCTGACTGAGGGTGTGGTATTTTGGGGGATCTCAGCCCTATCCATGATCTCCTCCATGCTCCTCATCTTGCTTGGGCCCTAGGTTGTTTGGTGCCTGCCCTGTATGGCTGTTGCAAGATGGGCAAATGCCCCAGGGTTTCAGTCCTCATCTCTTTGTAAATAGAGACTATGCAATTCAACTAATCCAGCAAATGTTACAATGCTTCATTTCTCCTCTGAATACATTGGTCTTCTTTCAGTTCCTATGACAAGAGCCTTACCTCTCCCAAGCCTTCTGCCTAAATGATGTTTCACCTGCTTGAACTGTTCTTTACACAGACACACACATACACACACACTCCTTATCGGGGTTACTGCCTTCTCGTTCTTTAGATATGATGTTAAACATTATTTCCTCACTCAGATGGGCCTTCCTTAACTGTTAAAATCTTAAGGTGGTATCAGCAATATTTTGAACTTGGGCATTAATAAGAGGCAGACTGTCTAGAAGCAGAGTTTGAACTGTAGCCCTGTATCCCAAAAAGAACTCAACTAACAGTCATTGTACAATCAATAGGCTACGGGAATAAAATATTACTCTACGTGTTACCATATAGAGGATACTTCCATACAGAGAAATAAGAGAGAGAGAGAGAGATTGGGGAGAGACGGGCTGAGACACACGTCTTCAGGAACTTAGAAACTCTCTGGTCAGAAACACTTAATAAGTTACAGTTGCAGCTGAACACAGAATCCTGAAGTGATGCCTAGTTCTCTATTGTTTTAGAAACTAAAATACCTAGGGAAGGAAGATTGTAAAAATTCCCACGCCCCAAAGTCCATGGGATATGATTTTCTCTTCTAACTCAATACAATGTTCCTTGCCTGCTTCCAGACAATAAATAAGGATCTGTGCACATATGTTACAAAGTCAAAATAAGCCCTTGTGGGGCTCGGTCTTCGCATTGTTTTTTATCTTCTGCCAAGCAACTGTACACTTCAGGACTGTAACATTAAACTTTACATACTGATTTCCAGCTTCAACAGAAAGCTTTCATACAGTCTTATCTTTAGTCATCAAAATCTTGGGTTCTGAGGACATCAAATAAACTTATTTTAGCTGAGTTTAAGAAACTAGCACTAATTTTAAAACCATACCCTTCACATGCTATTTATATCAATTCTTTTAAATACATACTTTTAAAATAACTGAGTTATCGTTAGAATTCAATAAGCACTTCTAAATCCTCCACTTTCTAGATATCTTCATTTTGATCATCTAACAGAACATACATGATAAGAACCAAGGGTTCTTTCAAAACTATGCCTGCCAACATCAGGAAAACATCGTAAAGAACCATACCTTCTCATATAGCGCACCAAATTATCAAAACGAGCATTACTTGCATGATTACAATAGTACACTCTACCATGTTTGTGCTTTGCACGCCTCAAAATGCCATCATATTTTAGCCTACTCAATTTCATGGCTGGAAGCACGTGGGATTTGGAAAAGGCAGACACAGCCTCAAGAGGATTAATACTTTAAGAGGAACAAATTTAGGAATTTTATCAAGTCCAATTAACAGTAATAAGAGACATCATTGCCCTAAACAACATGTGCCATTGACAAATATCTCCCAAGTGCTTGTCATGTGGCAGACACTGTTTAAACATGATATCCACAGCAATTTAACAATGTTATCTCACTAGAGCTCTTAACATGTTTATATTGCATATGAGGATTCACAGTTTTACACACACACACACACAAATAACACAAAATACCTGAAGGGCCGTGAGGATATTGGCTAAGGCTTGTCCATAGGTGTCATGACAGTGAACAGCAAGGGCACTGGGGGGTATTTCCTTCATGACGCTCTCCAACATTCTCTTCATGCTTCCTGGGGTTCCCACTCCAGTTGTATCTCCCAGAGAGATCTCATAACAGCCCATGCCATACAATCTCTTAGATACCTATTGGGACAGGCGAAGAGCTAGTAAACAGTGGCAATGAACAGACTCCAACTCTGTTGTTCCTTAGCAAACATCATATAGAGGTAAAAAAAAAAAAATCACAACTAAGATTGTTACATATCCATGGAAAACATTTTAGTTTTCTGGTCCTTTTCGATACTCATTAAATCCTAAGCATTATGTGAAACTTTGAATGAGATTACTGTAATTATCTTTTTTCGAACATTCAAGTTTGCCTTCGAGTCATAACTGTCTATCCACATGTTCAATTAGGATCTATAAGCTACCATGTCAACTATGGAAGACTTATTTTTCTCATATATTTAATCAAACAGAAGCATTACAAATTTACATTGAAGATAGCAGTTCTCAAGGCATTACATTAGGTGTCAAGAGCTAGCTATCCCAGTCTCAGCTCTGTCACTCAGTAGCTGTGTAATTGGTAGAGTCACTAAATATTTCTGGCTTAATTTCTTTGGCTCATAAATGGATGCTCTTGTGAATATGACCTTGCATTTTTTGACTCGTGCTAAGTAGTGGTCTTATAAAGAGGTCAACTGCAAGGTCCCTTTCAACTGAATAACTAACGTTACTTACAAAAAGCAGTAAGAATTGGCATGAAGGCAGCATGCCTGTTGATAAAATCATGTGATCTGGAATCAGACAGGCCTGGATCTAAATCTCAGCTGCCACCCATGCTACTCATGGGGTGCTGGGCAGAAGATTAGCCTTTTTAAACGTCAGTCCCTAATCTGTAAAAGACAACAAAACACCCTTATTTAGCATATTTTCTCAACCTTAATATTTAATTATTAAAAATTATAATGATGATGTGGATAATGACACGGTTGGCAATGAAAATGAAATGAGGATATATAAACATCAGTTTGTACAAAATCTGGCACGTGGTCACTCATTAACTCCTTTATTATGTATTTCTTCAGTGCCATTTTATTCCCAGCCCTGTGCTAGGTGCTGGCATATAATGGGGACACAAATATTGAGATGGCTCATGCTGTTATGGAGCCTGGAGTCAAATGAGGACAGGCCTTAATCAATTCCATTTGGGGATGTGTAAATAAAGCTAAAATAAGAATTCTGAAACAAAGAAACAGGATTCTAAGAGCATGTGGCAAAGGAAACTGACCCAAATCTGTCAAGCAGGAAGGGCCCAAGTGACAGCTTAAAATACAGTAAGCACTAACTTGTTGAAGAGGCTGAGAAAGAAGGGAATGAGAAGAATATTCCAGGTAGAATATAAAGAATACCTCAGAGGCTGAGGTATTCCAGGAAGCTGAAATATAAAATGCAAAGAGAATTTCAGGCAGGAAAAAAGTCAAATGCAAAGGACAGTGTGACTTTGAGAAAGCAAGAATCAAGAGAGAATGAAGTTACTTAAAGGAAAGGCAGGCATGGGGCAGACCACACAAAGCCTTGCACACTGACCAAGTTTAGGATTCTGGTTGAGGATTCCATCATAAGAGCCGTAAGAAGCCATGATGGAATTTAGGGTAGTGGTGGTATAATCCGATAATGTTTCTCAGAAAGGCACTAGCAATATATCAAAAACAGGTTGGAAGGTATTCCGAAGGGCTAAGTAGTCCAGGTAGGAGTCTATTATTGGATGGAACTTGAGGTAAGAAACATCATAATGCTGATTTTCCTCTACTGCCTCTGAAATGCTGGAATTTCTTAATCCCCAGGCTGAGGAGCATGAGTCTCAAAGGAGAAACCTAGCCTGTTGGAGGAAAATCATACTTGTGGTATCAAGGGAACACAAGGGTGTCAGGAAGTAGGGAATGGTTACTAGTCCTAAATTCTGCTGAGAAGGTGAGGACTGAATATGACTTTGCATTTCTTAACCCAAGTGCTACGTAGTGATCGTATAAAGAGGGATTTCAGTGGAGTGAATGGTCTAGACATCAACTTGGAGTATGATGAAGAATTTTTGGCACATGACAAAATGGACACCACTACTGCAGACAGACAGCCCTTTGAAGAGGTTTAGATGTAGAAGGATGGAGATAGTTGGTAACTAGATGAAGATGCTGAGTTAAGAAAGATTCCAAATGGAAGAGGCTTGAACATGTTCAAATGTCAATGGGAAGAATTCTATATAGTTGAATAGACAGGGGAGTAAATGAGGGAAAGGACTAGAGACATGGACAGAGGAAGCACAGTTTGCAATAGTCACTTCAGAGAGTAAGAGAGTGAGTTGGCTATACAATATATTAAAATAGCACAGAAGGCCCCTTAAAGGTTGCTGGTCATGAATTCCTAATGTTTCCAGTCTGCCTGTTACATGATTCTTTTCAGCAACTTCTCAGGCATTCTGGTGCAGGAATGGACAGCCTGAGAGTGTGTGCGGTCCATGCAAATATGGCACTAGGCAGGGGCCCCCAGAGCAACGGGTTTGTTGCATAGCCAGAGTTGGATCCAGGTTTTATGGAGTCTGAAGTTATACCATTTTGGATGTGCTTTTAAAGAAAAAACTACATAATTGTGGCTATAAATTCATGAGTCTTGGAAAGGTCTTATGCAAGTGAAGAACTCGCACATTTAAGCTTCTTTTTTTATAGTAGGTCTGCCTCTGTGTGCAAAGATCTTGCTTAAATAATGGACCATGGGATATCTCTCACTTTGAAAGATCCACAGTAAATTTCAAAAATGCAAATGAATGTATTAAAACAGGATCGGCTTTAGCCAAACTGAAAATGTATGTAGCCAAATTTTGATTTTCTAACAATGCTATCTTTACTGCTTCAGTGCCATATTACTAAACAGATGAAAATTACCAACCTTAACAATGGGTGTACATTAATATAATTCATATACAAATGAGTTTCTGAGACAGTCCAATATCATCTTACAGACTCAGCATTTTGTATTCATTGGTATCAATTAATAAACAGGAATGGTAAGTAACAAATGAAATTCAATAATCAGGTCCTTCATGACTACAATCTACTGATGTAAAACTGTGCTGGGATAGCAACTTGAATCTCAGTAGTAAGAGCTCTAGGATGTCCAAGGAACAAAAACACTGAAGCAGTGTATATTCTGATGCACGTGCAGCAATATGCAGGAGAAAAACAAAGAAATGCTACCTGAGCAACCAAGGCAGAGTTGAAGATGTGTGCACAAGCTGCCCTGACATTCTGACAGATGTGGAAAGGCCACTCACTGTCTTCTACTCACATAAAAACAAAACAGATATTTTTATTCCCTCCACATCTGAGCACGCAAATGCTAAAACTCAAATGTTTAACTTTGAACAGCCAATTATAAGTCTTCAGTGTTAAAATGAAACTACTAGTTAGTAATCACACGTCTCCCACTCCACGATTCCCCTTAGTCTTCGTTGCACACACGCACTAAATAGGAAAGAAAATAGCCCAATGAAAATAATATACATCATTTCACCATGAACCAGAAAACCAGAGGCATCTCTTACTTCTGTCACTTTTTGCGGTGTGATGCTTCCTTCATATGGACAGCCCAGGGCACAAGACACATACCTGAATTTAAAACACAGAATATAAATATGAGTATGGTGGATAAGCCACTCCCTAATTTCCATTTTATAAAAAGAAATAGCGGAAAAGTCATCAAGAAAATTTCTTTTGCATTATTCCTTCATTATCATTTTATTCTCACACCAAACAAAAACAAGTTTTGAACCCTTTCAATTTAACTCACATTTTTCTCTTTCTAATAATTACAATTTGATATATGGTATTTGATGGCAGACAGGAATAAGATAACAGGTGTTTATCTTGTGTGTTTTTTCTATACTATAGCAACATACATTCAAAGCAGAAAATACCAGTGACATATATAGTGTGTTTTAAATAAGCACATACATTCAACTGTGAACTATCCAGGTCTTTGGAACCATAGAGAGAGAGCATGTAGTGGCTAACTGAATTTCTCTCTTCACTCCCATCTGGATGTTTTGGCCTCATTTGGAAAGTCATTAATCACCCTGAAACTCCTAGAACTGGCCACCACCTCAAAGTTCATCTTGTTTCTCTCTCATGGGTGTACCTAAATCATCTCAAACAGAGGAGTGTCTAGGCTGTGTTTAAAAGGCTTCAAATAAAGATATTCCGTGAGCTTCCTCAACAATTTAGTACAAAAAGTCAAGCCTTTCCTGCAAGGACAATGATGCATGTCTACCTTAAAATATTAAGCTTTAGAAAAAGTCTGTTTTAGCTATTTTCAGCTCAACACCAATCCCATTTTATTAAACTTTCCTCAGAGACTTTACAACACTTGTATTAAAATAATGCATCATGCATCTGATTGTCAGGAACGAAGCAATTCACATGAGGGAGAGGAGTCGTGGTGGGAAAAGAGGCTGGGGATCCAGTTCTTTGGGCCAGGAGGAAAGGTTCAGATAGCAAGGGCCTTGGACGCCATGCCAAGGAGTTTGAGTTTTGAGATCACTCAAAATTATTAAGAAACGTAGTGACAAGGTCAGATTTGTTTTCCAGAAATGTAACTCCTTGGTAACTCTGGAAGTGGCTGCCAGAGGAAAGCTGGAGGCAAAACATGAGGGAAGACAATACCTTATTTCCTTGATTCTCAGATGCTGTTGATTGGAAGATATACTATGCATTACCTAACAGATTTTAGAATAAGAAAATATAACACATATTAAATGATTCAATACATATCCATTGATTCTAAAGATGTAACCTAATTTCAGAAGTATTAAAATACTAATAAAGTTGTTTGTTTTGGGAATTAAAATAAATAAGCAGTTCCATAAGCCAGTCAAGCAGTTATGAGACAAGGGAAAGAGAAAAAGGACAAATTCAAGTAAAATTTGAAAGTGATGCTGGGCAAATATATGGTGATGGAAGGAGAGCTGACTCTGGGTGGTGAGCACACAATGTGATATACAGATGATGTATTACAGAATTGTACACCTGAAACATATGTAATTTTACTAACCAATGTCACCCCAAAAAACTTTAATTAAAAAAAAAAAAGTGATGCTGGGAAGGAAGCCCATCTCTCACCTTCCAATTATTATAATCTAAGCTTAATGTTTGAATCATCTGTATAAATTTAATCAAGATATGTGAAAAGAAAACATTCTTATGTAAACATAACACTGGAGAAGGTAGCTAAGAATAAAAAAGGATAAATATTTTCAATTCAGATATAACGAGTATAGATACTGTGTTGAAAATATAAGTATAATACATTGATTCTGAACCCAAAATATCTATATGTGATTAAATAGAAAATCCAAGCCATCCATTTATACGCCGTCCCTATAAATGTGAAAACAAAACAAGCAAAAAATAACAAATGCAAACCAATGTGATACAAACCTTTCCCGCATTCCTAATTTATGACCTGGCCACAGCTACCCCTTTACGCCATAACCCCACATCTCTCCACATCTGTTTTCATTCCCTCAAGTGCATCCCAGGCCTATGGTTTGCCTGGTCTTCACTCTCCATTGTATTTCACCTATTGTACATATGCTCTGCATCCCTGTAAGTCCTGTAGTTCACTTTTTTAGCCTCATGTTTTAGCAGGACATTTGTCTTTCCCCATATCGACATTAAATCGTATTCCCAAGCCACTAGGGATTACATCTGGGACAGACGCCCCCATGTACCAGTGGCATCAACCGGCATGCTCACCACATTTTCTGTGATGAAACCTGGGGACTATCTTTTGTTTGCATGAGCTTAGCTATATGTTTTAAAACTTGTCATATTTATGTATTAGTCACGGGGACACAAAAGGGAGTCTCTGCATCAGCTGTCCCACAGTCTTCTCCTTCTCTCACCATTATGCCGATAACGCCATGAACAACTCCTAATCTCCTTGTGAACATTACAAATTGACTGCTTGACACATTCTGAGGGTGTTTTAAGTTCGGCGTGTCCAAAATGATGCTTATCCCCATTTTCCCTGCATTTACCATTTAAAAGAGAACATGAAAGAGTCATGTTCAGAGTCTGTCTTTCTAACTCACTTGAAGATCACCTCTGAGAACATATTCAAAGGTTGGTTAATTCTTCCCCTCCAGCCTCTACAGCATGACCTCTGCCCATGATGGCCCACAGGCACAGCATAGTCCCGGAGTACCCTCTCCAAGGCAGCCACAGACGTCTCCTACACGCTCCCCTTGTCTCTAGTCTGACGCCACTCATTTTTACCCCAATATCTATTGCCAAAATAATATTCCTGGACAATAGATCTACATATTTATCCACTTTGAAAATCTTTAATGATGTGCCATTGTCTACCAAATAAACTTGCTATTCAAGTTCAGAAATTTGGGAAATCTCAATCTAGCGTTCTACCTCTCTTTCATTCCACAGCCTCAAAAACTCCTATTCCAGTAAAAGTAAACTTCTTCCTGTTACAAAACATTTGAGATTTCTCTTCATTATGCCTTTGCTCTTTGTAGATTTCCTGTCCTTACTAAAAAGGCCATTATTTCTGATTGCGTTCCATATATTTACCTATCTTTAATGATTTCATTTTATTAACAACTTCTCCATGAGCTTTCCCTAAATAACTCCAGAGAACTTTAATATAGTATTGCTTTAAACTTAATTTTTATGATTCTTTAATTTACTTTTTATTTAAGTATAGTTGGTACACAATTTTATATTGGTTTTATTAGCTTCATGTATATAGTATAATCATACATTTTTACACTTTACACTGTGGTCACCCCACTAATTCTAGTAACCATCTATCACCATATAAACTTATCACAATATTATTGATTATACTCCCCTTCTACTTTTCCCCCATTCCCCCATCTCCTCCCTTTGGTCTTTGTTTCTATAAGTCTCTTTTTGTTTTATTTGTTTGTTTATATTCCACACATAAGTGAAACCATATGGTATTTGTCATACTCTACCTGACTTTCACTTAGTATGATACCCTCTAGATCCATCCATGTTGTCACAAATGGCAAGATTACATTCTTTTTCATTGCTGTGTAATATCCCATTGTGTGTGTAGTATGTATGTATATAATTTATACATACACACAATTCATACACACCACATCTTCTTTATCCATTTATCTATCAATGGACAGCTAGGTTGCTTCCATATTTTGGCTATTATAAATAATGTTGCAATGAACATAGGGATGCATATATCTTTTCAAATTAGTGTTTTCATTTTCTTTGGATGAATACTCAGAACTCGAATTGTTAGGTCATATGGCATATCTATTTTTAGTTGTTGTTTTTTTTTTCAGGAACCCCCATACTGTTTTCCATAGGGGCTGCACCAGTTTGCAATCCCACCAACAATGTACAAGGGTTCCCTTTTCTCCACATCCTCCCCAACATGCTATTTGTTGATTTTTTGACAATAGTCATTCTGAGTGGTGTGAGGTGGTATCTTGTGGTTTTGATTTTCACTCCAATTAGTGATGTTGAGCATCTTTTCATAAGTCTGTTGGCCATCTGTACATCTTCTTTGGACAAATATCTTTTCATGTCCTCTGACCATTATTCGATTGGATTGTTTATTTTCTTGTTGAGTTGTATGAGTTTCTTAGGTATTTTGGATATCAACTCCTTACTGGATATATCATTTGTAAATATATTCTCCCATTCAGTAGGTTGTCTTTTTGTTTTGTTGAAGGTTTCCTTTGCTGTACACAAGATTTTTAATTTAAAGAAGTCCCATTTGTTTATTTTTGCTTTTGTTCCCCTTGATTGAGGGGATGTATCCAAAAAGATACTTCAGACTGATGTCAAATAGTTTACTTCCTATGTTTTCTTCTAAGGGTTTTATGGTTTCAGGCCTTACATACAACTATCCAAGACTAAACCAGGAAGAAACAGAGGATCTGAACAGACCAGTTACTAGCAATGAAATTGAAACATTAATAAAAAAACTCCCAACAAAGGCCCAGGGCCAGAAACTTCAAAGGTGAATTTTACCAAACATTTAAAGAAGAATCAGTACCTATCCATCTCAAACTATTCCAAAAAATTGAAGAGAGACACTTCTAAACTCATTCTACAAGGCATTACCCCAATACCAAAACCAGACAAAAGACACTAAAAAAAAAGAATTACAGGCCAATATCCCTGATGAACATACTCATAGATGCAAAAATTCTCAACAAAATACTAACAGTCTGAATTCAACAATACATTAAAAGGGTTATACACCATCATCAGGTGGGATTTATACCAGGGATGCAAGGGTAGTTCAACATCTGCAAAACAATTAATATGATTCATCACATCAATAAAACCAAGGACAAAAATTATACGATTATCTCAAGAGATGCAGAAAAAGCATTTTACAAAACTCAACAGCCATTTATGATAAAAACTCTCCACAAAATGGATATAGAAGGAACTTACTTCAACTTCCTAAAGGCTATATATTACAAGCCCATAGCTAACATCATACTCAATGGTGAAAAGCTGAAAACCTTTCTCTAAAATCAGAAAACAAGACAAGGATTCCCACTATCACCCACCACTATTATTCAATAGAATACTGG